ACATTGGAAGGTGGGAAAATTAAACATATAATACATTGGAAGGTGGGAAAATTAAACATATAATACATTGGAAGATGGGAAAATGAACTTCTGTTGCATACATTTGTTAAGCACAAAGCTACACAATGGGCTATTTGTACTGTGCCCATCACGGGTATCGAAGCCCGATTTTTAGAGAAAAGCCATATTGGATTATCTACTGTGTCCACTGCAGGGAATCGAACTCTGGATTCTAACGTTGTAAGTCTGTAAACTAAGTACGTCCATAGAAAAGCACAAATAGTCATTTTTGTTTTTGTTTCATTAATCTTTAGATAATATTAATTTAATATACTGCAGTATTTGAGTTCTCCCGATGGAACAGAGGTAAGCTTACGGACTTCCGTGTTAGGTGTATTAATTATTGTTTACTCCTTCACTTCATACATAATATAAGGGTTGGCTCCCTGAAGACACCGGTTGTCTAGTGTACAAAGCATTGAGTTACAGTTACATGTTACAGTCATGTAATATTCACCTATTATTGGCTGGTAATTCATGTTCTACAAGTGTATAATTGAGGTACCACATCAGATATCATGTCCTACAAGTGTATAACTGACGTACCACATAAGATATCATGCCCTACATGTGTATAATTGAAGTACCACATAAGATATGATGTCCTACAAGTGTATAATTCATGTACCACAATGGTGCCTGATGTCATCCGTCTTCAAGGATTCGTCTTGCTTCTTGGACGTAATTGTGCCTGATGTCAGCCATGTTCAATGATTTTATCTCATGTTCTGTGTAAAGGAGTGTTTTAAACTTTGTTTCAGTAATAGTTTAACTTTATGGCAAAGGCACTATTTCTTGTAGGTCATTGGTGACATTTATGACTACATATCTCTTTGTGGGTATCTTCTGCAACTTTGCCACAAAAATGGATATATATTTGTTTGTTTGTTTTAGAGCAAAGTCACATTGGGCTATCTGCTGTGTTCACCGCGGGGAATTGAACCGCGGATTTTAGCGTTGTAAGTCCGTAGACTTACCGCTGATCCAACGGGGAACAAACGAATAAGGAGAATGTACTTGGGAAAAATTAGCTTTTTCCAACCCTTCACAAATACGTTTTACGTTATCAACTTAAGACGGACGTGCAACGCTAAAATCTAGGGTTCGATTTCCCCACGGTGGACACAGCAGATAGCTCAATGTGGCTTAGCAACTAGCTAACTAGCTAAACTTAAGAAGGGCACTTAAAGAATTGAAAGAAGAAGTCTTTACCATGTGTGCGTGGGTGTACTGTGGCTCCCTGAAGACACCGATTGTATAGTGTACAAAGCATTGAGTATCTACATGTTACAGTCATGTAATGTTCACCTATCATTGGCTGGTAATTCATGTTCTACAAGTGAATAATGGAGGTACCACATAAGGACATTCTATTTCAGAAGATGTTCACTTTTCTTTCTTTTATCAAATAGGTATGATAGTCTTCAAATTTTTCACAGTAAAACGCTTAATAATATTAACCCTTTGAGGGGGGGGTAAAATACCTTGTATTTATCACTTTCTGAGTATTCATACATATACATGTATACACAATTATTTTCCTTTAATCAAAAAAAATTCTTACAGCCAATTCATTCACGTAACTTGACAAGAGAAATCTACCCGAATTCTAATTACATAAAGTCACGCATTGGAATTACATGATTGCCTGTTACGATTTTTGTTGTTGTAGTTGGAAAGGGGATTTTTGGGCTTGTTACGCAACTCGTTTGGTTAACGAAACGAATTTTGTGTTTCGGGGAAATTTATATCCCCCGAGACATTGTGGCATTTAAATGCTGGTGGTTGACAAAAAAGGTTCAAGAAGCCTATTAACATCTGAACCGGTTCGTGGAACATATTTTTCACTGAATCATTTTGAGTTTTACGTATAGATTAATGAAAAGAGGAAAACACTGCAGGTAATTGATGGAAATAAAATGTGTTGTACGAGAAAATGTTTTATAAGTACACACTGAAAACTACAATGAACTGAGCTAATCACTATGCGCATGTGCGATAACCTTATAGCTTTTGTTGTTGTTCTTTCATGATATAAGATATAAGTTGGATTATTTTCTTTATTATGTAACTTATTCCTGACTGTTGTCCCTCGATGGGTCAGCGGTAACTTTACGGACTTACGACGTAAAAATCCGGAGTTCGATGCCCCACACTGGACACAGCAGTTAGTCCATCATTGGATGACTTCGCGTAGAAAGGGGAGCCTGTGGTGAAAAGCACCAGGACTTACTTTTAAATTATGTCTTCCTATAATGTCAGTATCTATGTATGTGATCAAAACTCCTGCGCCATCTATTGAACACAGACAAAAATCCATACAAAATTTCACACTTTGAGTATTCAATGTTCAGACAATTCTAAAAATAACTGTGGTATGTGCAACAACCATTTCTTTATAACAGAACACAATTTTAAATAAAAGTACTCTACTGACAACAAGAACACGACTTTTACTAGGACTGTACGTGATGGTTTGATTATATCTTTATTGATGTAATTTTTAAATGTGGTACTGAGAAACTGGAGTTCTTAAAAACTATTATTTTTTTCTATAAACAGTACCACTTTTAATATATAAAAACATTACAGTTTATATCAGTAAAATTTACGTAAATTTTGAGCTCTGTACATTGAATCATTTTGATGCAATGAGTTGCGTATGACTAAAGAGCACAATCCGAACACTTCTCGTGCAAAACATAATTTTTTAGAAAATTTTCACTTTTTCTTTTCTTTTTTTTTAAATAGGTATGATAGTCTTCATCATGACGTTGAACATTAGAACTTAGTAGTGAATTTTTCACAGTAAAACGCTTAATAATATTAAAAAATATATTCAATCCTTTAAATCCACTAAAGCTTTTACACTAATTTAAAATTGAAAAAAATTATGAAAACAAAAGCCAATTCATCAAACGTTTAAACATAACATTTACATTTTCAATATATCAATTTATAAGGTTACGTTATAGCTGGATACGTTTTT